GCCCATGAGGCCTCTGAATGCACAAATACGATCAACAGTGCAAACTGCGACGGTGAACATTTGGCCTCATTTAATACTTGCCCCTTATATGAACGTGAAACAAAGCTCAAGTTGTTCACCTTAATCATGTTTTCTACAGCTTTTAATAGTTCATGATGACGCATGTTTTTATTGGAGTTAAATCTGAATGACATACTGCATTGAAGTGCATTCTGTTGAAGCAAACAACACTGACCATAAAAACCATGTTATGCTATTACCTTTATCATTATGTTGGCAAAACTTAGTGCCAGTACTTCAATTAGCCATTGTGCATTGGCCATGCACAATGGGGTGGGGGTGGGGGACCCTGAATGTATGGTGTAACAGCAACTAAGAAGATGATGTTGTAGAGCTATCATGAATTTATGATATACGCAGACCCCTACCAGCCAATACATCACAATATGTATTGCAATATCTCTTTAACTGTTGTAATATATCGCAATATCAGAATCAGGGCAATATCCAGCCCTATGGATTACGAGGCCGTTGCTTCAATTTGTATGTAAGGTTTTAACCGACAGGCAGTTTCAAGTCTCCGAGTGGGTTTAACCCTGTCTAACACAATATATAGTATAAAGATTAAATTAACAGTTTATCTAAATTTGTAACGATTCCATCGCTATTTCTGGATGATTTTAATATGTAATGTCGTGGAAGAAGCACGAATTCCATTGAAAGGCACCTGCAATTATGTTTTGATAAAATCCGTAAATGGTGTTTTGAAAATGGAATTAAATTTTCAAAAATAATATCTAATTATATCCAGTTTTGTCGAAATTATGAATGAAAGAAAATGACCAACTACCTATTTTAGGTGGTACCACTATTTAAAAAAGGAAGGAAGGCTCTTGGGTATTAGTTTTGTGTATCATTTTACCTCCTAAAAATATTGAAAGATGTTTCTAACTCAAAGTAGGGAAGTTGGTTGGTTTGTTGTTAACACCGCACTCAGCAATATTAAAGTAGGGAGGGATAAGAAAACCTTCTTCCAACTATACACAGGATTCATCCCTTCTAAACGTGATTACGGCTCCTTAGTTTATGGCTTGTAAGACCAATTCAAAATGATTAGATTAAATTCATCACCAATGACGTAGACTTAGCTTGGCACTTTTAGAACGTGGATTCAAAGCCAGTATGTGGAGGCTAAGGAACCGTCCCTGAGACAAGGTTGAATAAAGTTATCCCTGTTGAATGTTTTCTACATTGCTTTCTACGAAATCTAATCCAGCATATGACTCATCTCCATTATAAAGAACTCTACTGTAAAAGATATTCTCCTATTCGCCACTCGGATTACGATTACAGTCTGACATTTCAGTTGCTCAAATAAATCTTGAAATTATAGCTCTCACCAAAATGTTCTCTTCTTTACTGTGGCAGTTAGAAAAGCTAAGGGTGGATCTAACATTATAAACAGAAATCTGAAACCAATCAAATTATTTATCATAAAGAGTATTCTTCATTTTGTATCACTTGTGGTGAGAGAATCACGACCAAGCATTTCTTGCTTGACTATCGATGTTTCCATCACATGGGATAACTATTTCAAAGTTTCATCCTTAGTGAAGTCGTTCTTAGTTTTATAAAAGAGACTGATTTTTGCTCAGGTACTGTAGTTCATAAGTATTAGATTTGAATAATTTTAAGTTTGGTCGAATGAATACATAACTATGATTGTAAGTGGCCGTAACCTCAAAGGGGGTTGAAGTAGTGTAAATAGCGGGTATTTAAGTCCTATTTTATTCAATCATATTATTATTATCATATTATGATGTACATTCAGCTGGGGTGCATACTGGAAGCAAAAGGACGATCAGTCCCCATGGTCCTTAATGTGATGATCTACCTACAGTTGCTGGTGATCTACAGCGTATCTTTTTGTATTGTATTATTCTGTTAAACCTTCACTTTCTGCCACGAACTTAGCGAACACATCTCCTTTCCGCTTGCTTTCATCGCCTGTTTGGCCACGGGAAAGTCCACTGGTCTGATACAAATCAACTGCAATATCAACAATATTATCTTCAGTTAAGGAACACATATGTCACTTACAAATCTATAGTTACTGATCTGTCCAGGGATGGTGACACTGTTATCAGCGCCACTGTAACTGGATCCAGAATATTGCGTAGATGTTCTATTCTGAAGCAAATGCCATTTTAACAGCTTTGAAATCTATCAATTGTCAGACAAAACATAACCAATTAATCATATTTTCTGACTCTCTTTTACGTCATCAGGCTATAAATGATTTCATTCCTAAGTGTCCACTTATAATCAAAATAAAATATCAGATGATGAACTTGCCACTGGCCAATGCGACATCGTTGGTGACAGGGCAATTTCTGGTAACACAATGGCCGATTCTGTTGCAGAGCCAGAAATCAACAAATCTGTGACACTACTTTTTATCCCACTCTCCGATTACAAAACCGTAGATACATCCTACATCTGTGATTTAAAGCAAAAGACCTGGGACGCCAAGGTAGGTATCAATAAATTACATCAGATATAACCAACTATCGGTTAAAGTTACCTTGGTTGTCAGTCCAGATTTGAAAACCTCATTAAATGCAAATACAAGATATGCATTGTGTATCCCTTGTGAATAATGAATCACTGTGTAAAACTTGACTGTACTGATTTTTCCATCACAAGGGAATGGTCTTTTTCATAATGTTACACTAATCAACATTTAATCATGTTCTTGTAAAAAGAAATAGAATCGTGAGATAAACTGTGAATAATCGGTTTTGTAAATAGATCAATGATATTTTAAAATTGGTAGATTGAATTAGTAACAAAGTTTGTTACTGTTTGTCTCCTCAAAAAGGGTTCAAGTATTGCACAGTTATTGTACATCTAATCCAACCATATTCTATATGTTTGTTTTATTCATGACTAATTTTGTCCAAGTCACCAACAGCTGAAGCGTTGATGTAGATCCATCTAGGGTCCATGCAGGTAGCAAAAGTACTGTAAGTCCCCATGATCTAGTATGGTGATCCACTTTCAGCTGCTGCCGATTTACAGTCCATTTTATATCAAATTTTTAATCTGGCTTTAAATTCTGTTTCTGTGATATGGCTAGTTGTTTCTACTGTCCTTCGTTGACAGGGTGTTTATTATTGATATGCAATTATCATGAATTTAGACATTGCCTTTGTCACGATATGGCTGAAATACAGCCGATGTGAATTTAACACTCACTCACTCACTCACTCACTCACTCACTCACTCACTCACTCACTCACTCACTCACTCACTCACTCACTCACTCACTCACTCACTCACTCACTCACTCACTCACTCACTCACTCACTCACTCACTCACTCACTCACTCACTCACTCACTCTCTCACTTTCCAAAGATCCTTCATAGAAGTTGAATGATAATATGTTTCTATCTTGCTATAGGGATCACAATAGCAGCAGGTCAAGAAGCTGGAACATTTCCAGAAGTCCATATTATGTCAGCATAATATTATGATATGTCCTAGGGGCGCTAGCTATTGCCTCTCGTCTAACATTACATTGCAAGTCATCAGAAGACTAGCACTGCGTGTGATGATCACATATTCCTGTCTAACCCATGTTACAAGTTGGATTATTGCTGCTCAGTGATGAATGTTACCACTATTGTCTTCATTGCTTTAAGCACTGCTTCAGTTTTACACTGCCTGTGGATTAACTGCCACTCTCTTTTGTATTGTCATAGTGATACTTTTTTATTGAATTGCATTGATTTGTGACCATTGTCAGATTTAGTTAGTGAGTTACGATTAAGAGTCATATCGGCAGAATTTGTATCCATATCGCGACTAGAAGCATTACACATAAATAACATATAGAGAATGTTAATAATATTAAATAATGTCAATGGACAGTAAAATAAACAGATTATTACACACTGTGTACAATACTTGTGTGTTAACACAACACGACAGCACTAAAGTCAACAGTACATAACAGGCTATTGATCACCAAAAACTGAAGAGAGATCACCTTACTTGGGACCATGGAGCGTTACAGTACCATGGCAACCTGCATGGGCCATAGCAGGATTTACAACACCTCCACGGCTATTGACCATTTTTGCTAAATTAGCCAAATTAAAAGAACACATGTTCTCCGATTAAAGCATAGCAGAAATAAATGTACTGGAAAGAAGTTGTCTTAGATACCCTCTTCGGAGGACAGTAATTGTACGCCACTTCACCCCCTTAGATAGTATACCTTCTGACAGTCGCAGTTATTTATTGGTGTGCTATTGTATTATATTGCCTCTTAACTTCTACTTCTAATCTCTTTTGTATTGCCACATTGATACCTTCGTATTGAATTGCACTGATTTGTGAACTAAGTGACCTCGAAACAACACGATAAAGTACACAAACAAAGTATACCCCTTGTATGTGAGCATAAATTATAAACTTTGAACGCTTAACGCTAACCGATAACACAGTGGTAAACGTAATTCAACTTTATGTGTAATTACAATTAATTAACAATGAATCATCTCCTCATAAGACAAATAACAATTGCCAAGTCAGCAGAAAATGGCTTCAAGTAACAGTTGATAAAACATAAAATATATTCCTGGTACAAGAATTATTTAAAGATAAGTAAGAATTGCTAACTTTGTACTTTGCCCAAAAAAGTTGTATTGCCATCAATACAGCAATTAATACATCCTTGTTGTAACCCGTGTTAGGTGGTATAAACCAGTAGTATGACACTGGTGTTCCGACCGCAGATGGGCTGTATAGATGTATTTGTGTCTGAATCATCCCCTATCGTACGGTAAACACACCCTGGTGTGTTTGATTGTGGATCATGTTTGTATGTGCCTTTTTTAAAAGGCTCCAGCAATGATGGAAAAAAATATAGCTTTGGCGACTGAGATCATCATTGCTGAAAAATCAATTTTAGCAAAATGTCCGCTGCGTCACGCTGTTGTGCGAGTCGCGGTGTGTGTGTGTATCTCGGCTGAGCTATTCATCTATGTACAGCTCGCTGAGCTGGCTGGCCGGCTGGTTACGTTATTAAATGATAGTTTGAACCAGGTCCTTCATATTTACAATCCATTGCTCCTGCGGGATTAAAAATATGGTTGAATGTTGGTGGACCGTCTCTTTCTACCGCTAGGTGAACATCTTGAATCGATAAGTAGCTATTATTCGCTTATCGTTATCAGTTGTCTTCAGAGTGTGATGGTAACAGAGCTGGATTCACAATCCTAAGGTCCAGCGTTGTAATCGCAGTAACAGACGAATTTTTTGCGATCTGGATACCCTAGCCATGTGACAGGAGTATATGTGGGCCAGAAGTTCAAACAAGAACGTTTGATTCTGATGTTAAATTAAAAGTGGGTGTTCGTGAGAGAACATGACGAATTTAGGCTGTGAAATTGGAGTTGATGGCTGATATCACGAGAAAATAACTCTGACATATTGACGGGCTTGATTCATGATGCGCTAACACCCCCATTCCACTGACCATCAGAACCTCATCTGAAGCCCATCTGATCCCAATTTTGCGAACGTTTTAGCGTTCGGATGAGTTCCGATGAAACTTCACCCGACATCCTTTTTGGGGGTCCCTTTATTCCATAAAATCCAAAACAGATCCAACATTGATCGGGTTAATCGGATGAAAGACTGGTAGCGGCCTGATGTCTGTCCGCCATAATCATCGGCAGCCTCCGACTGATTCGACTGCAGTCGGATTGTAATTCAAGGGTGACCTGACACTAATCTGACACTTCCAACACTCTCCCGACACTATCCAAAATCGGCAGTTGAGTATAAAAGCAGGCTGCACCTCCTGACGGTACTAGTCATGGATCAACTTCCTCACAACGCTGCACCTCTGGGCTTTGTTTTTATACTGCAGCAACAAACTATGCAGAAAGATGCAATGACCCTTGAGGTCTTGAGAAGTACAATATAGAACAAACTTTATGGATAACAACTTCTTTTTATTCGTGAGTGCGACGTTTCGATACAGATTCTTGTACCGTTGTCAAGCAGGAGATGTTTCGATACCGATTCTTGTACCGTTGTCTAGCAGGAATGCTTGACAACGGTACAAGAATCTGTATCAAAACGTCGCATTCACGAATTAAAAAGAGGTTGTTATCCATAAAGTTCGTTCTATATTGTACTTCTCAACTTCTAAAAATGCCACTCAAAGAAGTTGTCCTGAGAAGGAGGCTGAGAAGGAGGCATAGACGACCGCGTCGTCGTTGGGTTCTACCATGGCTGCAAGCTGATCGAAGGCCGTTATATGGGCACTACACTAGACTCGTGAATGAACTGAGAATGGAGGATACAACGGTATTCTTCAATTTCTTGAGAGTTCCGCCAGATTCCTTTGATGAACTACTCCAGAGACTCGCACCAAGACTCACGAAGGGTCATACCAATGCCAGAAGAACCTGTTAGCCTGCACCATAAGGCACCTGGCAGCTTGCGATCACTGTCATACAGCTTCAGGGTTGCTCGAGAAACCATTTGCAAGTTTATCCCTAGACTAACAACTAGTCTCTGAAATGAACATATTTTACTGAAAAAAAGTTCATAGTAAAAAAATATAAAATATAATGAAAAGGAGCCCTGAGACCTTCTTCATTTTCAGAGACTAAACAAATCTGCAGAGGGATAATTTCTTGGAATTTCACAAATCATGCAAAGATTCTTATCACCCATTACTGCTTTAATTGTGTGTGACAGGAATATTTACTGCCCCCACCGCCTCCTGGTCCTACTGCCAGTGGTGTGGGCTGATTTGGGGTAATGAGTATCAAGTGTCGCCAAATCTATTTTGAGAGCAAGCAGGGATACCAGCTAAGGGTAGCATCTCTTGATATTCCTATCGCTGGACAACTGGATCTTACCCCAAAAAAATCCAAAGTTATCTATATTCTCCAAAATCCAAAGGTTGTGTCTGCACTATATGTGGAAGTTTAAATGATGTCGCATATATATAATGAAACAAGCAGAAAAAGTAATCAATATTCCCCGCAATGGCAAAATACTCTTCATGTATATGTCAGTTAGTTATGACTATGTCAAATGTTTTGGTGTGTATATAGCAGTGAGTGAGTGAGTGAGTTTAGTTTTATGCCACACTCAGCAATATTCCAGCTGTTTGTAAATAAGAGAATCTGGACCAGATAATCCAGTGATAAACAGCATGAGCATCAATCTACACAAATGGGATGCAATGATATGTGTCAACCAAGTCTGTGACTATATTACAAAGTGGAAGGAGAGTATTGAAAGGTTTTTAAGTTCTGCTCCGGAAAAGAGCACTACCAATCAATTTCAGTCAAAGTCAAACTTGTTGCCATGGAAACACAAACTATGTTTTATTCAGAAATCTAAAACTACCAAAAGGCACCAGTATATCACCAGGCCTATCTATGTGCCAAGTTTGGTGAAGAAAAATTCAACAGTTTTAAAGTTCTGTTCTGGACAAGATGACATCCTCATAGCCACAGCCTCCATGGAAAGTTACGTTTCCAAGGAAACCGGAAAAATAAAGTCATATCTTGGTCTAAACCCCAAAAGGCACATCTATGGATCATACTCGACATATGTTCCAAGTTTGATGAAGCTTGCATGTATAGTTTGGAAGATCTGCTCCGGGCAAGATGACATCCTCATAGTCACAGCCTAAGTCATGATTCCATGGAAAACAGCAAAAATATAAACTTCATATCTGGGTCTAACCATCACATGGCACATTTATGGATCATGCTTGATATGTGTACCAAGTTTACCATGTGTACCAAGTCACGTTTCCATGGAAACTGCAAAAAATAAAATTCATATCTGGGTCTAACCATCACATGGCACATTTATGGATCATGCTTGATATGTGTACCAAGTTTGATGAAGCTAGCATGTATAATTTAGGAGATTTGCTTCGGACACGATGACATTCTCATAGTCACAGCCTAAGTCATGTTTCCATGGAAACAACAAAAAATAACATTCATATCTGGGTCTAACCCCCAAAAGGCACATCTAGGGATCATGCTTGACATTTGTACCAAGTTTGGTTAAGCTATCACATAGTTGAGGAGATATGCTTCGGACAAAGCGTGACGGACGCACGGACGGACGGACGGAACTCGTTTCTATATTTCCCGCAACTTCGTTGTTGCGGGGGATAACAATATGCCATCGGATCCCCATGACAATGTCTTTTCAAAGTTTATGGGTAAAGTCACAAATGCCTACATCGTTGAGGTACACTGCTTTGAGCCTAATGATTTATATTTCTCTGTTAGTCTCTTCATCATGTAAATCAAGGATGACACAACAATAACAGTAGCAAGGCTTGTATTTTCTACTGACTTGCCTGAATAGGGAGAATTTCGAATGTCAGTGATTTTCCACTCCTGGATGGAGAACAAAACAACACATCTTCACCACTTAATTAAGTACTTTTCAATCATCGTATTCTGATTTGGACGAATGCTATGTATATTTCCTTTCATCCTCATCAAAGTTCCAATTCATTTTTACCCTGAGATGGAAAACTTTTCGAAATGATCCCCTCTCCTCGCCAGTGTAAAATGAAACAGTTAAAGAAAATACTCAGATTTTAGAAGTCATCAGGGCCTCCTTTCACAAAGCACTAAGGTGATCGTAAGTCACTAAGGTAACCTTAGTGCAATGTTAAAGAATGGGAGTTAAGGCTAACCTTAGTAAAGGTTGCTTTGTGAAAGGAGCCCCAGGTCTTTAGTGTAATCACACATGTTGTTTGTCTGGAGTGAGAGGACAGGCAGAAGCAGGAGGTCTTGGCTCAGCGTGGGATCTTGGGGAGTGGTGGAGGAGGCTCCCCATGAGTTAATATTAAACACTAGTGACAGCTAAAGATCAACTTATAATTACAAGCCATATTCTGGCTTGTGAATTCAGCAGATTGGTACAGACCCTGAAGCTGAGAAAATCTAGACTTGCCACATTTTCTAGACTTGTGTGAGCTTTCTTGGATATATTTGCTTCAGGGTACTAGTTTATCCCTCAAATCTGTCCGTATTGGATGAGTATGCTGATGAAGTGATCGAGTGTCTCACCACTGAACAAGAATGGCAAGCAATTGCTGAAGAATACGAGGGGCGTTGGAACGTTCCACGTGTAATGGGGGCACTTGATGGTAAGCACGCAGCACTCAGGAAAGTGAAGAACTCAGGCAGTCTCTACCACACAATTCTTCTCAGTGGTCCTCATGGCACTTGTTGATGTGTTGACTTGTGGATAGACACCGGTGGTCAAGGACACATGTCTGATGCAGATATACAATGCATCTGTGCTCAAGAGACAGTGGAGAGAGGTCAAATAGGATTCTCCCACCTGAGCCAATGACCAGTGACAACCAGAACATGCCATACTTCATGATTCATTGGGGATGATGCCTTTGCTTTGCGAACCCACATGATGAAGCCCTACTCTAGAAAGAATTTGACTCTTACAGAGCAGATATATAGCTATTGCATAAGTAGAGCCCGAAGAGTCGTGGAGAACGTTTTCGGATTACTGGCAGCCAGATTCCAGTGTCTTCAAGGAACATTACAACAGCAACCTGACGTTATGCTTAACATCATAGAAACTGCCTCCACAGCCTGATCTGAATACGACACCCAGTCATGCACATTGGTCAGCTGAATACAGAGGATGCCAACCACAACATCATACCAGGAGAAAGGGAGGTCGCTTCTTTGCCTTCTGTCCTTGAACATTTCTGTTCTTTCCTGGACCCATCTTCAGGATCTTGGTGCTGCAGTGTCCGATGAAACTCTACGGAGTGAGTGTCGGCTGCCCCTCCTTTTGTAGTCTGTTAGCCGTCAGATGTCACCGCTTGCTATGCAATGTGTGTCGGATGGCAGTTGAGTTAGTGAGCGATTACCTCCGATGTCACGCCGGATAGCAATCGGATGGTGCTAAATA